CACACACACACACACACACACACACACACACACACACACACACACACGTCATTCTCCAAACATTTCCTTTTAAATAAACAGTGAAGTTTCTATACATAGAGTGTTTTCACTTCAAACAAATTCCACAGGCAATAAACGCTGCCTGTGTTTGTCCACCGTCTCCTGTCTGCCCCACAATTTGAGGTTAAGGGTGAATATAAAACTCAAACAGGAAGTATTAGAACACCACCACACCCACACAGAGTCTCTGGACAACTGCAATGTTTGGGGGTGGAAAGTAGTCATGACCATACATTTCTCCTGGAAACAGTAAAGGGCCGTTAAATTACTGGAAAATTATGTTTTCCGCGTTTAGCCACACCCTCGGCATATGTCGTGTGTTAGCATCAGAGAAGTTGGGGGAGAAACAAAAACATGTCACAATGTTTACAACAGATCGGTCCCTTGGCTAGGAAGAGAGCGAGGGAGAGAGAGAGTCAAAAAGTAAGAAACGGAGGCTTTGTATGGGTGGGTGTGTCTCGCGGTTAACCACTAAATTATAGTGAAAACACAGCGAGACAAACAGCACAAGTGAGACACACCGCTTCCTGCTTCTCCTGCGTCACATTTATCTGCATGTCTGAAGACATTTAGACATAAATGTTTGGATCAACCTACAAAATGTCCTCTTTATAACTTTTACTTGGGCCTTTAAGAAGCCACTGCAGCAAGTCTGCTTTAACACTATTTTGACTGCAGGTTAAAGCATTCGGACTGTAGAAATATGTGGACAGACAGACAACACACAAACTATCAGTGACCGGTTGGAGTTGATGAGTCGATTGACCAGCTGGTTTACCTGGACGCCGACAGTTTTGATGGGCAGCAGGAAGGCATTGAGTGAATGAAGGCTGGTGATCTGCATGAGCTTCTCTTCCTCCTCGTCCGATATGCACGACTTGACTCTCTGCAGCAAGGTATGGGGCTGGAGGAGAGAGAGAGAATTTTAAAGCAGAACGTAAAACTGGAACTGCAAGGACCGAGACCTCAGAAGTAGCTCTGTCTATGTTGTGACTACTTTTAACTCATTTCGCAAACACTTCTCATTTTCCGGCTTTCCGATGCGTCCATCGTCTTAGTCAGTACAGCCACAATAACCCTGATTCATGAAGTCAAAGTAGATCAACTCTGAACTTCCATCATTTATCAAATGAACAGCTGTTCTGCGTGTCATGGCAAATGAGTCCCCGGTTCTACCGTCAGACAACCAGCAGCAAACAGCCAATCTTTGTTTGTTTGGATCTGTGTACTACCTCTAATATTTGTCATCAGGAAATGTACAGTGAGCGCACAAGCCAAGAGGGCTGTTTTCAGTAAGCAGTGATTCAATTCATATTAAATGTGCATGCATCATCCAAACTGCAGAAAAAGAGGCATATTCACGGTAATTCATTTCCTGCCATTAGTTGTAAATACATGAATCATGATCCTGTTACAGTGGCGAGTTGTTTATGATATTTCCCTAAAACACAGGATGTCAGATGACTACTTATTACAATTTATTTTTGCATCTGCATTGTTCTGACCTTTTTGATGCTTGCAGAGAAGTCTGTGATGATTTTGAGGATGTTGTTTGTTTCAGCAAAGTCCTTACAGATGTAGGGCTCCTCTGCACAAATCACTCTGATGGACAAACCCGGACCTAAAAAGGAAAAGCAAGGAG